ACGGCCTCCTGCAACCCTCTGCCAGTGAAAATTTTTAAAAGCATTTTTTCTACAACCTCTTTGGCCAAAAAAAAAAAAAAATGCATTTAAAAGTAAAAAAAAAAGCCTCTGATGATTGTGCGGCTCAGCTGGGATCGTCAGAGGCTTTTAAAAGCATTTTTTCTACAACCTCTTTTAAAAGAAAAAAAGCCTCTGCCGATCAGGCAACTCAGCTGGGATCGTCAGAGCCTTTTGAAAGCATTTTTTTACAACCTCTTCGCCAAAGAGGTTGTAGAAAAAATTTAAAAGTAAAAAAAAAAAATGGCCATGCCCACCCAGTCACATTACCCCCACCAACATCAAGCCAAGCCTACAGAACCGGTAGTAACAAATTTTAGGTTTCACCACTGATTCACTCGTTACTGTATAGTAAATGCTCCATCTATAATAGCCCGTAAGTAGTCAGTTTGTGGCTCGATGGGCAAGATTTAGAAAAGACCACTGCATGCCCCTTTTGCCATCATTGGTGGCATGGGCTAGTCCCATTGGGGTGAGACGGTTCCTCATATAACCTATGCCATTTTATCACAACACTAACAAAGTGGCCTGAAAATTGCCTTATGTCCTGTCCAGATGTTAAGAGGCAGAATATAGGTAAAGGAAAGTCTAATATATGCAAATGGCATGTAAAATGTGACTCTTATTTTATTAAGATAAATAGTTATGTTCCTCAAAATGTAGGGCTTAAACTTTGGGGATGGGTGGGGTTTGATTTACTTATCGGCTGGGTACACATCAAACTTTTTAATTAATGTTGCATTGTCTGGTCTGTTTGGTTAACTACACAACTGAATGTTGAAGACAGAAATTGAATGTTATTTATGCTTTTATGTAGCTGTGTTTCTACACCCTTTCCTCTGTGTTTATTATGATTTGGTGTCTCTGTGTGGTTTATGCTTAAGCCTCTTTTAATATCCTGTCCTAAAAGGCAGGGAACATATCAGTGTAATACTTATAAAACAAAATTCTGTGAAAATAACTTAGGAGGATGGACTAAGTATTCTACATACCAATCTGCCTCATAATAACAGACAGTTATGCTTCTTAAATTTTTGCTCACCATACTAGTCAACAATTTTATTAATTTTTCTCAATATAAAGAAAGAATTCTGACTTATCCTTGCTGAGACAGAGAGATAGACAGACAGACAGACAACATGGGTTTATAAGCAGGATTGAAATTAAACAGAAATTCAGTTTGGCTGGAGGGCCTAGGGTACAACAGAAAAGTGTGTAATTTAAAGAGAGTATTCAGGAAATGTTTACTCCATGTTATTTTATTTTATTTTATTTTACGCAACATTAAGATTTTTTTCTTGATTTTCTTTTTTCTTTTGTTCATATTCTATTCTTAGAAACTGCCAGGAAAAGTCTCTGCATGAGAATCCAGTCAATGAAATCTTTATTTATCAGGATTTCCAAATTCACCAACAAGCATTTCATAAAAAAGGACAGAAATTATAAAAACTAGGCAGTAGATACACCTTTAGAAGGGACACATCTGCCTTCTGACATACAAAGTTCTTTTGAAGATTTTGGCCAAAAGATAATATTGTTGAAGGCAAAAATGTTTCACCTAGTTGGTAGCCAGAATGCATTTTCTGAATGCAAAGTGTCACAAGGATGCAAAGAAAGCGTGCCAATGATTTATGGCCTCCAAATGTGCTAGACTTCAGAACTTCCAGAAATCCAGAACAATGATTCCCCGACACTAGTAACACTATAAGGAAATGGGTGTAGTGTAATTGAGAATATTTTTGTTGGGTTGTGTTTTATGCTATATGGTTATTTTCGAAGAACACCTGTCATCCATTTTCTTATTTTCTTCTGAGATTCCTCTTTCTCATTTTTTTTTTTCAGTTCCTTGCTTCGGTCCTTTTGGCAAGGACCATGCACTCAGAATTCTAGCATTGCCTTGAGAAATATAGTGCAGTTTTAAGCATCGACTTACTTAACATTTTTGGACTGATAACAACATTTAGAATTTCTGCTCAACAGGTTCACTGTTGAGCAGAAATTGATACAACCAGATCAGTGATGGGTTTCAAATTTTTTTACTATCAGTTCTGTGGGTGTGGCTTGGTGGGCGTGGCAGGGGAAGGATACTGTAAAATCTCCATTTCCTCCCAATCAGCTGGGACTCGGGAGGCAGAGAATAGATGGGGGCGGGGTCAGCCAGAGGTGGTATTTACCGGTTCTCCGAACTACTCTAAATTTCTGCTACCGGTTCTCCAGAACTGGTCAGAACCTGCTGAAACCCACCTCTGAACCAGATCTGCTTAATGGCTCCAAAGCTGCTCTGTTCTAACAAAACCCACCGTCATTTCTTACAACCCATTCTTGCTTGTTCAACTGTTTGTTAGATGTAGGTAATTAAAACAAAACTCCCAAAGCCATCTCAGAGAACAGACCATCAGAGCACTTCAGAATGTCACTTCAACATAAATTGTATGAAGTTAAGATTACATGCAATACTTTGTTTGTGAATAGTTTATTAAGAAAATTAACATGTTTGGGGTTTTAGGTAAATGACCAAAATGAATCTATCATCGTTTTGTGATATTACACAAAATAGCCATCATGGTACATCTGGCAACATACTCATCTTGAGAAGGCATTCAAATGCACCCGTCCACATTTTATTTTCTAAAAATGTCTGTGGAATCTATGTAGCACCTCAGCCTTATTGAAAATATATAGGCTCGGGGGTCTCCAACCTTGGCAACTTTAAACCTTGGCGGACTTCAACTCCCAGAATTCCCCAGCCAGCAAAGCTGGCTGGAGAATTCTGGGAGTTGAAGTCCGCCATGCTTAAAGTTGCCAAGGTTGGAGACCCCTGGTATATCTTGTGCTTTAATTTGTCACTCTACTGCATGCTAGACTTCCATTCTTATTTATATATATATATAATGTTAATGTAGCGGGGAGGGGGAGGGCCGGAACCCTGGAACTACGGCTGAGGGAAGAAGAGAGACGGAAAGGAGAAAAGGGGGGTTCCCTCAGATTTTGGGCGGAGACTTTTGCTGAGGGGGGAGGCATTTATCTCAGACAAATTAGAAATTGAGGAGTTAGAATTTTTAATTAGCCCTGGAGCTTTCATTGAGGGAAGAAGAGGCGGGAAAAAGAAAGAAGGGGATTCTGTCAGGTCTTGGTGGGAAGATTTTTGAGGAGAGGGGAGATGGCAGAGGTAAGCTGACCCAGATGAGTGGGCAAGTGAGTGACCAGAGGGGGCACCAGAGACGATAGAGGCAAACTGACCCAGGCGAATAGGCAAGCCAGGACCAGAGGGGGGTGCCAGACACCCCGGCGGACAAAGGAGGCAACCTGAGCTGGGCGACTAGAGGTGATCTGAGAGAGCAGGATGTACTGATGTCCAGAACGATGGACATTGAGACACCCAGCGAGTGACTGTGTAGCGGGAAAGAGCTTGGGTACCTGTAGAAAGAGGGGTAGATGAATTGAGACTCTAGAGGCCCTTTCAGAGGTGGTGCTACTTTATGAAGGCAAGAATCTTTGTGGAAACCAAAAACACGTCATCAGTTGGCAATTGTGGCCCTTGATGCTACAATGAAGAATCAAAAGTTAGAGTGTTGATGGTAAAGCTTCCCTTAATTGAAACTTAAGTTATGGTGATTATGCGGACATAGTTTTTCTTGGCAAAATAAGTGGTTAATCACTGCCTTCTTCCAGACTGGGTTGCTGTTTTTCTATTTCCTAGTTTAGCCTTTGGATTTTCCTGGAGTTTAAGTACTACTGAAGTATGATTCTGCTTGATTATGATTATCTGCCATCGAATTCACGTTTGTCTCTTAGCAATCACTCAGATTTTCTCCATGATTGATCTGGCCCTAACCTGGTTTTTCAAACCTCCCAACAACACACTCATCACCACTATAATGGTGTCCATTCACCTTGCTGTTGGTTTTCCGTCTCCTCTTTCCTTTCACCTTTTCCAACATTACAGCCAGGGGTGAAATCCAGCAGGTTCTGGAGAACTGGTAGCAGAAATTTTGAGTAGTTCGGAGAACTGGCAAATACCACCTCTGGCTGGCCCGAGTGGGGTGGGAATGGAGATTTTGTAGTATCCTTCCCCCAGGAGTGGGGAGGGAATGGAGATTCTGCAGTATCCTTTCCCTGCCACGCCCATCAAGCCACGCCCACAGAACCGATAGTAAAAAAAATTGAATTTCACCATTGATTACAGCCTTCTTTTGAAGCTGGGTCTTTGCATAATGTGTAGGATAACTGCAGCCTCAACATTTGAGTTGCTTTGCTCTATGATCCATCTGTTGATCCTGTTTCTTTTTCTTTAAAAGATCAGCTGCGGTTAACAGACTGCCACCTGTTTGAAGTCCTGGTGTCTTTTTATCACTTCCTCTCTCTCTCTCTCTCTCTCTCTCTGCCTGACCCTCCATAGAGTGTCACCATGAGGAGGGAGAATCTTTAAAATAAGGAAGGTCCCCTCCTACAACTTTGGGTACAGCTTTGAGAGCCAACCTCTCTGCACTGCCCCCAGGGGCTAAGCAAACCACACCCAAGTCAGAAAGGAACCATTCAAAGCAAGAAAAGGTTAAGCCAGGCTGCAAAAAAACCCCAAAAAACTGATTCCATTTCCCCTTTGCTTGTCTCCACAGCTTGCAACAGAGCGATGCCAGGGGCTGGAACGAGCCTGCAGCTCGGAGGTATCTCTGAGCGTGCGCGTTACACACAAAAAAAGGAGAGACCTCAAGACTTTTCTGCTCCTCCTTCAACGTTTGGTTACATTCCCCTTCCAGAGTTCTGTTTCCTCCATCTTAGCTGACTTTCTAGCCTGGCTGTTTACCTCTCTATGCTCCCCTGCGCTCCCTCCCTTACTGGCGGCGTCATTTTCTGTAATAGACGACGCAGCAGGAGCGAGCAACGTGCAGCGGCGGGAGCTGCAGCTTATTCTCCCCCCCCCTTTTATAAGCACCCCTGCATTGCCCGGATGTGAATGGATTACAATGTCTCTTTCAGGGAAACGTATTACTATCAATTTCTCCGTGGGGGAGTCCATAGTGATGGTCAGAAAGAGGAGAGATTTCTAAAGTTGGAGCAAGTTTAAGACTTTTTTTTTTTTCTCTCGTGGTTGAAAAAAAAAAAGAGAGCGAGAGGGGCAGGGTGTGGGGAGCGTGCAGCAACCGATATATATGTATATATATATTTGTTTTTGTTTTTAAAATAGCTTATTAGCCGGGCATGTGTTTGTAACGAAAGACACGAAGGAAAGTGACCGGATTTTCCTTTTTTTCCCCCCCCTAAACCAAATTTGCTGTGCTTTTTTTATTTTTTATTTTTTGGCTGGTTTTTTAAAATTTTGTTTTGTTGAGGTGGGACGAACTTTTCTTGGCAATTGACTCATTGTGGATAATCCAAAACAAAGCAGAATCCCTCCTCCGGGGTTTAATTCCTTTTTTTAAAAATATATATATATATAGTGGAGTATTTTCTGCAACGAAGACGGAGTCCGTGTTAAAAGGACTTCGTATTTTTGAGAGTCAAATACACGTGAGATCATAAAAGCACCTTTAACAAGAAGACTTTTTTTTTCTCTTTGCTGCCCCTAAAATACATTTCCTTGGAATATTGTGAACACATTGTTCCATTTAAGGTAAAGTTACAATTTCCTCTTAAGAGTGCTTTTTTTTTTTCTTTCTTTCATGTTGATCCCAGTGTTATTTTTCTCTCTCTTTTTAACTTGCTACAACTTAAGCAATATGAATTGAACTGCATTGTTTATGTGATGCGAGTAAGCCAGCCACACACTTAACTTAAAAAAACCAGGAGCGCCTAAAACTGAATAAATAACGTGTGCATGAACTGCAAAGCCTTAACGCGCTAATTGGAAAGAAAATGAATTTTAGCTTCGATCTCGCGGGTGGGTGTGGGGGGGGGAGGGCAAACCACTCTCGCTCGTGGTTTTCGTGTGGGGAGGGAGGCTGGGAAGGCGAAGGGTGCGAGGCCTGTGGTGGCAGCGTTTCGCGAAGTAGACCATGCTTGCAAAAAGTAAGGGGAGCGGTTGGCAATAATCTCTCACAAAACTTGCTTTGGGAACGCTCGGTTTTTCCTCCAAAGTTTCCCATTAATGCGCTCGCTCTGTCTCTCTGTGCTCACCTCCAGATTATAAAAACCCAGCCTTCACTAGCGTGGGAAAAAAAAGAAAAAAGAAAAGATGCGCCGAACAACAACAACAACAACAAGAACTGATGGTGTTAGTGTGTGTGTGTGAGTGTGAGTGTGAGTGTGTGTGTGTTTTTTTAACAAGTAACAACAACCAAACAATGGTTGTGTGGGTCTGGGTCTGGGTCTGGGGGGGGCGGGAAGATGAGAAACCTTTGTATCACGTGCATTTGCAGGGGAGAGAATCACCTTCCTCGGCTTGCCTTGGGGTGGAACGGCGGAAGAATGATTTTTGTAATATAATAAATCTTAAAAGTGCTTGGGGACTGGGGACGTGGAGAAAGAGGCGGGAGGAAGGTAGGAAGGAAGGAGAGAAAGAAAGAAAGAGCCGGCCAGCCAGTGTGTAGGTTGGTTTCCAGCGACGGGAGCAGGGGCATGGAAGAAAACGAGGTGCCCGTTTGCTTTTATTGCGTTGATGTACATATATATATATATATATTTCCTTGGAGCGCGGAGTGGGGGGGGGTTTGCAATGCGTGCGCGTGTGTTCGTGTTGGGGGTCCTTTGCGAGGCAAAACTGCCACCGAGGGAGCGGGGCGGCTCGCGCTCCTCTCTTTTTTTTGTTTCCCCCCCCCTTTTCTGAACTTGCAATCCGGCTTTCTATTCGAATTTGTGTGTGTGCGTGTGGGGTTTTTTTTGGGGGGGGGGGTTTGTTTGTGTTTTCCCCCCTCCTTTCCCCTTTTTTCCCCGCCCCCCCTCTTTCCCCTACGGAAGGCAGGAAAAAAAAAAAAGAGAGAAAGAGAGAAAGAGAGAGAGAGACAGAGAGTTTGCTTTAGGAATCAGGGCTACTTCCCTCCTCCGCCGCGTTTTCTTCGCCCGGCTTTTTCCTCCTTAATTTTTTTTTTCCCCCCTCGCTCCTGTTCAGGGAGAGCTTTCGCGTGGCGCCTGCGAGGTTTCTTCTTCTTCTTCTCTCTCTCTCTCTCCCTCCCTCTCTCCTCTCTCTCCTCTCTCTCTCCTGCGTGTGTATGTGTGCGGTTGGTTGGTGGATGCTGTAATTTCGAGCAATGAAATCCAGAGCTCGGGGCTGTGGTCGGAAAGGGACCCCCGTCTCGTCACTCGCGGCCGGTAGGTACCGGAGGTGCCCTCTTTTTTAAAGGAAAAAAAAAAAAGCGAGAGAGAGAGAGAGAGAGAGTGGGGGGGGGAAACGTGTTTTGGGGCTGGAGTTTAGTTGTGGCTGGTCCTTGATAGAGAAGAGCGCGGACGAGTGCCAGCGGTGCTCCATTTAAACACGCGGGATTTGCTGCCTCTCTCTCTCTCTCTCTCCCTCCCTCCCCCCCTCCCCGGGGTAGCAATGGCCCTTTTCACCCTCCTCTGCTTCCAATTGTTTTGCTTTAAAGAAACGGGTGACTTTGTTGCCAGCAGGGCCTGGAATACCTTTTCGTGTCAGTAGTTCGCTACTTTCCAGTCGGCGGCTACCTTTCAATAAATCAGGGTTATCCGTGGGAAACTCCTTTTGCCCTCCTTCCTTTTAATCAGAAACGAAACAAAACTCTCCAGGCTGGGTATCAAAAAGGCGGATTCTCTGGTCCTTTTTTTCTCTCTCTCTCTCTCTCTCCCCCCCTCCTCCGCCCCACACCTTTCCCATCCATTTATGTTTCCTTCCCCCCCCCTTCTTCCTCCTCCTCCTCCGTCCCCTTGTACCGACCCGAGTGTGCGTTTTGGTTTACTCCTAAGGACTTGGTTGCTCGCCCTTTGAATCAAATCCTCGGGAAGCGTCCGGTCGTTGGAGCGGAAAGGGACACAAAAAAGAAAAAAAGAGAAAAGGAGCTTGCCCGAGAAATAAAAAAAAAATAAAAGTTGGGAGAACGGTGCCTGTTAGTTGCTACTCTTAACTACGTTTCTCTTCGTTCCTGTTTGAACCTCCTGTTGCATAAACGGTGCGCGGAGCAGCGCGGCTCCTGTTCTTCTCTGTGTCGGCTCCCGCCTTTGGGGTCAGAGTAGCTGCTAACCGAGTTTTTAGCCCGGTTCGTTAGAACTACGGTCTGAGTCTTTTCTTGTCTACTTCTTCCTCGTTGTCGCTTTTCCACACACAACCCCTCCCTCCCTTCGCTTCCCTTTCCACCTCTTTCCCCTTTCCCTAAGTCTCGTGAAAACAAAAAGAAAAAAAAAAAAGAAGAAAAAAAAATCCGATTGTTGTTTCCTGCAAGGCTCGGGATTGGGTTTCTGATTGCGGTTATTTCCATGTTTCTAGGTTTGTGTGATTTTGCTAAAATGCATCACCAACAGCGAATGGCTGCCTTAGGGACGGACAAAGAACTCAGTGATTTACTGGATTTCAGTGCGGTAAGAAACAACGGTGGAAATGAACAACAGCTGTTTAAAAAAAAAAAAAGCACAGAAAAAGTCTGTTAAACTAAACCAAAACAAAGCCAAACTGAGTTTTTTTTAAAAGTACAATGAGTAATTTTTAATCAGCGGTTTTTTTTTTTAATTCATGGTAAATATGCACGCTCTATTACTTTACTGATTAGGATCTTATCTGGAGGAGATGGACTTTAAAGGTCTGCCATTTATTGGGATGTGTTCTTAGCATTTGACATCCTCTCCAAAATGAACCCACACATCCTCTGTCAAAAAAAAAAAAATAATTAAAAAGAAATCCGGATATTTCTCATTATTTTCTGTGTATAAGAATTACTTAACGTGCTGCATTGCCTTCTAAAAGTAATGGCTGGCATGCCATTTAACTGATGGGTAAATCAGTTTCTTTACAGTGTACTTTTAGTTCTTCCCTTGTTTCATTTTTTGCCACCTGAAAAAGTGAAAGGAAATCCAGAAGTAGCCTAGCTTCAAGTTTTCACTGAAAACTCGTCTTGCTCTGCTATCAATGAATGAGCTGCAACTTTCCTGTGGATACCCCCCCCTCCCTCCATTGATGGCTAGCTCTCTGTGTGTGTATGTGTGTGTGATTTTTCTTTTCATTTTTCATTTACCTATAGACTTTTTAAAATAACTCTTCTTGATTCTAAGGCCTAATATTAACCAAATCATGAGTAGCTGCTTAATAGAATATTCCCTGCATCCTTGGATTGCTCCCCACCCCAAAAAAAGCCGGTTCTGTCCTCCACTCTTAATCTCTCCCACCCCCACCCCCCTTTCTTTCCAATATGTCAGAAGTCTTTATTATTTATTCATGTTTGATGGGGAGTGGGGGAGAGAAACAAGATAAGTCAATTTCATATAGGATGCATTTGTGTCTTTAAAGACTTCTACTGTGGGAGGGGGAAATTAGGATCCAAAGGGGGGGGGGAAGGAAGATGTTTCAGTGTGCTGTGGTCCTTCAGACTTCCCTTTCCAGACATGGCTTTGAGAAGTTTGGCTACAGGGAACTGTAGCCTGAGGCAGCTTGGTAGCCCCCACTTTGCTAACTGTTCTTTTTTTCATTTCTTCCTTTGCTTTTTGTAGTCTCTGACTCAGGAAGAAGGTGTGTATTATCTACCAGACACGTAGAAGAAGATGAAAACCAATTAGGGTTGAAATAAACGCAGGAGAGTGGGGGGGTGGGGGGGAAAGAAGAGAGGGAACCGAGAGTGAGTGTGAGTGTAATGTAATTGCTCTTGCACTAAAAGCTGAGGTGAAAATTTAGGGCAGGTGGAAGTTTCCAGGGCACTGATGAGAGGCAAATCCTAACAGAGGATGGAAATGGATATAACTTCATTTATGACCAAGGTTTCAGTAACAAACTTTTTATTCCACCCCCCCACCCCCCTTACCTTTGCCAGTCTGAATGTTTTTTAGGAAGGTTTTCGTTTGCTGATATGTGTGTGGGGTTGTTGGAGTCCCTCCTACCACGTATCTTATATTGTTTGGGGAATGCATAGAGGGAGAGAAAAAAAGAATATAGTTTTTTAAGAACTGTGTGGCTGCAAAGGCAGTGATGGGAGAGAGATTTCATATTTAAACAAAATCACGATGACAGCTTTTGTATAATGTTGAATGGAATTTGAACATAGGGGAAAAAAATAATTCTATTTACCAACAATAATACCTCTTTGTTTTCTTTTAGATGTTTTCACCTCCTGTCAGCAGTGGAAAGAATGGACCAACTTCTTTGGCGAGTGGACACTTTAGTGGCTCAAGTATGTACAATTTCTGTTTGGAATTCAGTTGAAGTGTTCTTAAAGTATATATTTTTTACCCTACATGTACGGTTAGCATGAGTTTGGGGAGCATAACTTTAGCTTGGATTAAGGATTTATATTAAGATCAGTTGAAGTGCTCTATTGTTCATATTGACAAATGTTTAGTATAGTATCTTAGGAAGAAGAATTCCATACACACATATGTATGTATATATATTTTGCAGGACCTATTTTAAGATGCAAGCCTTTTAAAACACACCTTTCCTTTTATTATATAAGAAGCAAAACCCAGTTCCCTAAAGATAGTAATTATTTTCATGTTTCAAAAGAGGAATAACCATTTTATAGTTCTATTTTGGTATCCATCCTCTTTTTTTTCTTTTCATCCTAATTTGTTCTAAGCATTAGCATATACAAATTTGGCCATCTATTAGCTACAGTCTGGACAACACTTCTGGCCATAAGCTGAAATCCTATTACAGTGACTTTCTTGATGATCGTAACAGCTTTGGGGAGAAAAAAAAAGAGCCTGTTGATATTAATGCAAATATTTATTATCTGTGTATGTGTTGAAAAATGTGTTATATTCATTGCAAATAGTTATTTTCTCTGTGACCCAAAGAAAGGGTCTGTTTTTTTGATGCAGGAACCTCTGAATATAATAATAATTGAATGTGGAATACAGAATATGTTTATGTATTGGGAAGAATTCATTTTCTGTCATGCTAGCAATGTGAAAGACGCATCTGAACTGTTCTTCCCTTAGTAATTGTATTTTATAGTGTTTCCTGCATTACTGAATGTTGTCCTTCGGATATATTTCTGATACATTTACAATTAAATAGCTGCAGCGTATTCAACATTTTGGCAATTGCACATAACTGTTTACTGACCAAAATTCTATGAGAGGAGCATCTCTGAACCAGATGTTAAATTTTGATAAGACTTTACAAGTTCATTATCTGTGTACGGCATTACCCTGTTATCAAATTCAATAGCAAAACTCCCAGTGATTTTAACAGGCCTGGACTAAGAATTCAAATGAATAAGAAATAAAATGATACCCAGTTTAGTATATATTTAATTATTTTAAATAGCTTACTTTAAAAATATTTTGAATGTTTTTATAACATTTTTAATAAATGATATCCTAACAACTAGATAGTCATCTATTTGAAATTACTTTATATTTTGTTGCATCTTCAGATATTGTCTGGTTAATTCCTGGTTTTAAAAATGAAGGAATCTCTAACTTGATAGTATACTAACATTTATTGAATCCATACATCTTGATCCCTAAATACACATTTGTTAGCCATTTCTTTAGAATGTAGTATCTTACCAAGACATGTTTTATTTTAAAACAAAACAATTGTTCTAGTACAATCTTTTAAATAATGCATATAAGGAGGGTTTTTTTCATTACATAAGTAGTGTAAATTATTTGTGCCAGATAAATCATTTTATATTTAATCAATCTACAGATAACAACTGTTCTAACAAGTATTAGCAAGATGCTCATTTTTAAGGATTTGCTTTAGCTTAATAGTCTCCTAAGAGACTATTTTATCAACAGTTTTAAAAGGATGAAAAAAACCTTTTGGAAATCTAAGAAAAAAAAAGGAGCATTTTATTATATGCTTAAGCAACCATCTTCCTTTGATATGCAAATAACTGAAAAGAAGAAGAAAACACAAAAGCACGAAGTAAGATAGTAAAATTAAACTGAAGAGATTTCAAAACCATGCTATTTTTTTCTTAAGTCACCTTAAGACCAGAGTTCTAAATATATCTTGTAAGCTCTTGAATTTGATGAACTGATTTCCTATTTGTGAATGAGATAACATTAGAATATACTAAGCAGCTTTATGTTCTTGATTAAGACCAGTAATAACAATATTATTACTTGATTAAGTATCAGTAATAACAATGTGTCAAAATTGTAGAGATTTGTATGATTACAGAAAATGCTTTTCATGATATAGGTTTTTTTTTTTAAATCAGTAAAGAATAGCTTTTAAAATGAATCATTTAGTAAGAAGAAAAGTTGATAGAAGCCAATATGTTATGAATCTGTCTCTAAATCTTAAAGAAAACTTGTGACCTGAAGTTATATTTACTATACTTTTATTCCTGATCTTGTTTCTTAATGTGTTTTTGACAAATGAACTATGCAGAGGAGTCCTGTACTTTGAGTTGCGTTATTGTTATGCTGAGTCGAAATATGGTTCTGTTATAAAGTGGTAGGAAGTACTCTTATGATGATATTTTAATATACACACAGTGTTGCAGAAAATCCAGCATTACTGTAGCTTAATGTCATAGTTTGGTCCATGGATAAGTGTACTAAGTAAATACGTTGTGTCCAGTTGAGGCTCAGATTTTACTTGTTTTCTACACAGAATCTGAAGCAATAGAGGTTGGTTGAGATACTACTTAGGATATCTTTTTATATCTCTGTTAAAATGGGTACTCATTTGATGAAAGGATGGGAAGAACTCAGATTTTGAGATTTTTTTTTAGTATAAAGCAGAATATTGCAAACAAATTGCATGTGTGCATTTTTTTTAAAAAAAAAACTGTTCGTTTAATACAAAATGATCTGATGTGGCATATAATGTGTGAATGAAAAGAAAACAGGCCTGGATTTCCTTTAAGGTTTTAATTTGCCAAATGTGGTTTCTTGCTACCTTTAGAACTTGCAAGGCGGAGAGGGAGAAACAAATGTAACCTGAGCCACAGGCCTGACATTCTCAGGGTGCATTTTTCACATGAAAGGGTTTTGTCAATGCTTTAAAGGACTAGCAGTTTTTGTTTGATGTTTGCAGGTGTTCAGCAGAGAGCTTTAAAACAATCCAGCCATAATGGTTCAGATGCCTTGTGACCTTAACAGGGAAACTTGGGGAAGGTGTAAATAATGTTTAGGTGCCTATCCCGACTCTGAATACTGTAGGCTATAGGTTGGATTATTCTTTGCCAGTTGACTTGAGGATATTAAGAGACAATTTCCACAGCCTTCAGAAAGGTTGCCAGCATGATGATGATGATGATTGCTTTTTGTTAGCCGTAAAAATGTTTAGAGCAAAATTATGGTAAACTAGGACTCTGTGGAGATCCTGGTAACATCTGCAAGCTGAAACGTTCAGCTATGTTCAAGAAAGGTTATTTTTCATTTAGTTTCTCCCCCTACTTGTGATTTTCTTTGCCCCCTGCACAAATATTTGCTTTCACATATGTTTTCAAGAACATCTTAAGGATCTCTAAGTGCAGGAGCCGTGGCAATTTTTAGGAAGACAAACTTTTCCAAATGTGTGTCTTTACAGATACACTCACAATGTTCCCTCTGATTAGTCCTTCTAGTCTCTTTCTAGATGTCATGCTATGTCCATCCATCCTTTCAACCATTTGAAATAGGAGAGCTAAGACGGAGATACGATGAGCACCTTGGGCTGTTGTGTGTATCATTTGAGCCTAAAACTGATCTGTTCTTTATTCCTTTATAATTGATGTGTTTATTCTGGAAGGTGAAATAGGTTATCTTTGCCATAGTTTTCTAGTGACCTATAGGAATGCTTGGTTGATATTTTCATTGGTTTATTTGCAGATGCTAATTTGTGTCACATGTTGAAATTCTTTGCTAGAACCTTGGCCCTGATTCTCATAAAGAGCTGATAATTCTATGTGTGGGCTGAACCATTTAAGATTGGGTTCCCATGGGATTTACCCATAGAGAAAATTCCTTTCCATGGGGAGAAAATTATAACAGCAAGAAGAGTTTTAATTCAGCCTTTGCTTTGACATAGATTTTTTTTTAAATGTAGGATTTTTTTTAAATGGAAGAAGATATATTTATGATAGGTATTGACTGACATTTCCTATCATAGAATAGATATCATTTAGTTTTAAATTCTTTCATCTTAAAATGATAAGTACCTTGTTTCCAAATTGCTTTTCTGTGAGCCTTTTTCTATTCATTTGTAGAATAAAACTTTATTCCTTAGGTATTTAAAAAAGAGGTTCTTAAATGAAATTTCCTTCTTCAAACTGATCTCCTGAAATATCTGTTTATTCAAATGATATCCTACTCTGTGACAGGTGATCTGAGTAGGTTATTACAAATTTTAAAATTTGAAGCAAAAAATAAAATCTGACAACTATAAGAAATTTACTATAAGACTCTACCCATTGTGACTTTTAGAGCTACTTTACTGATCACAATACAGATGTGATACATGTTTTTCCTCAGTATTATCTGGTGGAGCAGTTTGGCTAAAATACTCTAATACAGATTATTTTAGTTCCATTGCTAAATAACAATAAATGGTCCATTTGAAGAAAATAGAAATATGCAAAAATGGATGCTTATATTCTAAACATTAGGAAAACGTAACAATTTAGATATCTAATATAATCATCCATTTAAAAGATACCTAATTTTTAAGCAATAGGTTTTGATTTTTGTGTACATGTGTATAGACACACAGAAATGTACATAAAATCAGAAAAAATATAATCCAATATAGATACATAATTAAATTGTGTAGAGTTGCAACTGAATTAACATGACTAAAAGTAATACTTCACTAAGGGAAGAGTAGAAAGTATAGTATAATATGATGATGGACTTTATTAGTATCTACAACTATAATTACTTTCATGCATAATATTACTATTTAAATATAGTTGCACCAAAAATATAGTTAGTTCATAAATTGAAAATACATGCATCATTTAAAATGATTCTTATATAGCGGATGATGCTATTACTTTTAAATATTTTCTTTGTATTGTGTTTTTTAGATTTATCCTAATGCTGTAGTTTTTTTCTATTATTTATATAAAGGTTATTTACAAAAAAAAGAGCTTCAGTTCCCATCTATGTTTTGTTATAATAAGGTCAGGCATATTCTCATTTCAACAATTTATGGGTTACTATGTGACCAGGCCCAGAAGTACTCAAAAATATAGTTACATGCCACATTTTTTCAGCACTAAAG